CAGAAATGTTGGTATAACCAGACTAAGGCACTGAAAAAGTCATGAAACTCTTCCAAACAAAAAAATTTGAAAAAATAAACAAAAAATGCCTATCACTGCATGTTAGGTTAAGCAGGCAGTGGCAAACACCAAACACTTCTCCTAGAGAGTCTCAGATACACCGACCAATTCCCATTCAGACTTTGCAAAGGTAGGTCAGAGGACAGCCAGTATCAACATTGCAAAATAAAGAAAAACAAACCAGGGGGGTTATTTTCCCATTACTCAGGCTTACCAACCGTCTCTTTCATTTACAAAGACGTTATCTCTCCAGAATATCAATATTTGGTGCAACAATTTCTCCTCATACATGAACATTTAAAAAAGTCTCAAACAAAAAAAGTTATGGGGGCATTATTAGGAAAAAAAAAAAAAGGAAGAAAGTAACAAAAATATCTTGTCTGGTAACAAGAATAAAGTCCCTTTCTGTACAGACTCGCTTACTGAGGAGTTTTATTTCTGTCTTGAACAGCCAAGAAGAGACTGTATATTTGTGTTGTTTAAGTACGCGCACATTCAACACAAACACCTCACGACAGAGCTCTTTCTTTCACAAGCTGTCATGTGCATGCATCCTGCCCTCAGGCCCGAGCACCTGAAAGGATAAAGAGAAAGGGCTCCCTCTATCAAGAGTTCAACTCTATTCTCACTCAGAATTGAAGTCTGCAGTGGAAGCAAAGATGCAGATTTAGGGGCCAAGAAGGCCCCATCTGCCTTCTAGCCTGTGATCACACGTGGCAGCTCAGCCACAGCCCACGTTGGCACTAAACATAGCTCCTAATTACTCAAAGGAGTCATTTCCACAAGGAGCAAGAAGAGCTGTAGGTTAACACAGTTACACCTTGGGAAAACTGCTATTTTACGGCAAGGAATCCTACCCTTGGTCTGACCTGCTGCACAGAAGCTGGAGAGGAAAACACAAGCTGCAGGGAGGAAGACTTGGGAAGACATTGGTTTCTGTGTACATGAGTGGGTTGTGGATGTCGTCTGAGGAAACAGTTCAGGTCTTCATGAGTTGGAGAGGCATTTGGCTTGCTCCATTTCTTTGCCTTTTCTTTCAGGAAAGGATGATGTGGGTTACCAGCTCTGCCACTTCCCAGCCTGAAATAATAAAGCTTTTTTTAGTTAGTGCCCTGCTGGAGCCAAGGATCTCAGAGATGCTAGTGGCTCATCCTTCACCAGCTACCACTCTTAAAGTCAGAGATAGTGTTATTAAGTGAGAATTTTCATCTTCTCTGTGAGTCAAATAGCTGGTAATACCTCATATTCTCACACTCATTTTTCAGGTTATTTCACTGGCTTATTGCAGGTAGTGGTGAACAGTAGAATTATGATGTAAGGCTATTTTATTTTATTAATAATAAAATTAATAAAAGTAATAATAAAATAAAATAAAATAAAATAAAATAAAATAAAATAAAATAAAATAAAATAAAATAAAATAAAATAAAATAAAATAAAATAAAATAAAATAAAAAAATATATATATTTTTTAATGTCTCCTATTGCAATGGAGCAGGGCTGGAGTCTGATGTTCATACAGATACTCAGAGAAGCTCCTGTTTAAATATGCTAGGACTCGTTGCCCCTGGTTGTAGCTTGCAGCTCATTTTGCTGGACTTTATAAAGTAAGATTTTTAGGTGAGAAATTCGCAAGCAGGCAGAAGGTTGAAAGTGGACAGAGACACTGTCAGGATAGTTAAGGGTCTTGAAGCCATTAGCAAGTTCACTAAGAGCAGGGTTTCATTGCTCAGTACCTCATCAAGCTGCACTGCAAGTACCAATTTTGCTTTTTGTTTGAATCCAGATTTGTGTGCGGCAAAGCTGAACTGTACCAGTTTTAAATGAACTTGTCCTGTTTGTGGGTACCCTCCTTTTAATTAAAATGTAGGGTCACAGAAGTAGATTGGGGGCATAAAAACTTGTGAAACCCACTGCAATGGTTACATACCTATGTGACCTATTTAGCATCTGCAAATCTGTTTAATGCCCAGAACTTCATTAGATAATTCAAGCAAAAGCTCACGGGGAGCTGCATAATGAGACCATTCAGATTATTGTTGTGATTAGTCCAGTCCTCTTCCCCTTCTCACTTAGGAATTTCATTTCAGCAAGCCATCATTTTAAGAATATGCAAATATTGACAGCTACTTTGCTGTGAATCTTGGCAAAAAGCCAGGTTTCTGTGAAGCTGGCTAGTGTAGGAGAAGCTAAGCTAAATATGCATAACCTTGCATAATTCTGCTTCATGGACCTCCAGGCACTGTGCACCTGTGAAAACCCAACCCACTCCCAAACTCTTCTATATGAAAAGTGATTCCAGCATAATACTCAGATGCTCAGTGATCGTGTAACCTCTGCACATGTTTGTTAGCTCTTGCTGCTCTGGTAAGGTCTTGAAGAAAAAGGTCGGCGTGTTATCCATATTAAATGCAATGCTTTATTCCTCACCGATATGTAGGTATCTCATGTGAAAGGGGTGAAAAGACCCTGTATTGACAGCAACTTTGCAGTTATATTAAAACTGGAGGAGCCTACTCTTATCAAGAGTATAAATAAGTATTTAGTATAAATAATGTATTTGACAGTAAAGAATTAATGATGCATTATTAAGATCAGGGTAGCACTCGACAGCTGCCTGGGGGCATTGCACATAATCAGGAGTCACAGAAAAGTCAGCTGTAGCTGAAGGTTATAAACCGCAATCTAAAGTAGAATAAAATTTTTAAGTCCAAAAACCCAGTTTTGCCTAGTCTCAAGATAACAGTAAGATTGAAAATAGTAACCCTATATTTGTTAAAGAGATTTTTCAATGTTAGGCTATCCATAGAAGAGTCAATTCTGATCCTATGAAGACTAGAGAAACTCAGTACATTGTTTTCAATTAAAGATTGAACTTTAAGGGCAAGGAAAAAAAAAAAAAAAAAAAAAAAAAGAAGATGTATCTAAGAGTTGCACCTGCCATTTCATGGCTGTCTCACGTTGACGGCTCACAACCCGTCTATGACTCTCAAGGTCTTCCTCCTTATTTGAATGAGCTTCCCGCTTACAACAGAATTGTTTATCACCTCAGTGCATGACCTTCAAGTAGACCTATCTAATGCTGCTACTCCAATGTCACCATGACTACTGTACCATTAGCACTTACTGTGCCCTTTCATTCACTATGGGGACAGCTGTATGCAACTGCACAGGCACAAGTGGTCCCCTTCTTTTTGCTTTTGCATGTCTTTTCTCCTAAATCATGCAGCAGACAACAATAAAATTTCGTTATTTTATCTACTTCATAAATCATATGCAATAGCTTACTGCTGTTGAGTATTCAGCTCTGGATTTCTGATATTCTAAATAAAATAAAAAAATCTTCTAAATCTTCTAAATAGATAAAAACAAAGGGGAATGGTAGGTTTAAGCTGATTGAGAATCCTGAAGCATGTGTGATTTTACAGAAAGGAAAAACCATTTTTACCTATCTATAATCCATTTTTAGAGCAATTCCAAGCAGTCACTATTTATATGACTCCAGCATCCAGGCTGGGTTTTAGATGGGCAGTAAAAGGAGATTTTTCTAGTGCTGAGGAAAATGCAAACCAACTGCTAACATGATAAAGCCACACACAGTAACAGAGTTGCTTGAAGCCTTGATAATATAGGAAATAGTCACCCTGGAAAAATCAGACATTGGTGCTGGCTTTATAACATATGGCAGCCTATGCAGTTATAACTATCTTGGTGCAGTGGGAGGTTGGAAATGAGCTCACCAAGCTCCATTCTTTCTTAACTCCCATCACTGAAGTGTGTGAGAGATACTGATGTGAATTTTCCGCCAGAGACATCAGCCAAACAGAGACAGGCAGATGCATATGTTGAAAAATATGCTTGGAGGTCATCACGCGTTCACAAAACTCTTTGCTCTCGTGCACTCAGGATTTTCCTTTCCTTTCCTCTATGTAGACTTTGCATAATTCATGTCTCTCTTTCTTTGCCCAGCTCTGCTTCTCCTGCTGCACCTTTTCCCTCCATTTTTTTTTTTTTTTTTTTCCTGTTCTGGAACTCTTCTGGGAGTCATGCAGCAGTGGGGGCCACAATGACTGGTTGTACAAGACCCCGTAGCTGGGAAAGGCAGGTTGGCATGATAACCACAACAATCATATGGAACAATTACTGCCACGTAAGGCCTTCAATAAACATATATGTACACGCACATTTCCTGGCTTAATTCTGTATTAAATAACCACTTCAAGGAGACGAAGGAGTGCTTGTTGCATCTAAATGAGGGCAGAAAATACCATTTTAGCTACTGCAGGATATCCAAAGATGATCACCTGGGAATGGCAGATAAGGTATGAGGATGCACAGGACAGCCCATGCTGCTGGAGTAGCAGCAGGCTGTCAGGTGTACCTGAGGGGTGTCCTGGCACCTTTGTTTAGACAGCTGAATTGCACCCTTAGACCTAATCGTGGTTAAGCAACCTAGTGAAGGAAAGAAATCCTCAGCATGATGAAGAACCATGCTCTATGATTCTTCAAGATATACACTTCAGAAAAGATCACTTTAGACTAATATAGCAGTACAGAAACAGACAAGGAGTCCAACATTCCTGCTTTCATAAAGCATTTATTTCTTTTTATTTGAAAACATTATACAGGCATTACATTGCCACAGCCAGTCCATATAGGAGCATGCAAATATCAAAATGGAGAAAGGTTTGTTCAGCTTTTTGATGCGGGATTAGGGATTTAGGGTTGGGATTTCTGTTTGGTTGGTTTTGGTTTTGGTTCATATTTCCCTTTTGCAGTGTCAAGATTAGTGTGCTTTATTATGGCATTTAACAATAAAATCCTACCCATGGGGTAAAATTCATATTTGTAGCTAGCTCAGGAATACTAAATGGTTTTAAAAAAGGAAAGAAAACAATACTACACGCTTGTCAAAATGTTAATAGCACAAGTTAGCAATCTCTAAACTATACATTGAAACAATTTTATATGACACAGTGGTGCAAAATTTTCAATTGCTTGGTCTGTTGTTGTGTGTTTTGAACGTTTGTAGTTGGAACAAAGACAAAGTCTGTCTCCCAGTGAAGGTTTTCATTTCGTTGCAGAAAGTTACATCAGTCTTGCTAAACGCCGCTCAGTGCCAGCAATATAGCAGAGTTTCAGTTTGTTCAGTCAAAGATCTAGGTGGAACTAGTGACGTCCTATCACAACGAGTAGCTGCCAGTTAGATAGCTGGTGTGTACTGAGGTCTCAAATTGCAGAAGAAAAACCCCAACAGGTAGACCTCACTTTTTCAATCAACAGTTACTTGTAAAGCTATACTACTATTTTCCTTTGAGGTCCATCCAGTACTAGCACACTGGGGCTAACTGAAGTATCAACTTTTCTTTTTCTTTTTTCTTATTTTTTTTTATTAGAGACATAACAAGTAAAGCAACCCCACAGAAAGATCTCCAAGTGACATGAAAGTCTTCATTGTAAGAATGTATTGGCTAGTTGCTGGGTGTAGAGTACAAACTGGATCACTCATGATTGATTTCCATACAATAGAGCCTTTTAAAATAACCTATAAATTTTGCTCTAGATGGTGCCTCTCGGGCATCTGTAGTTGCAAACCCTTGCATGCAAAAACTCCCAGGTCAGGGAACTGAACTGGGCATATTTTCTTCTAGTTGTTTCTCATAAGACTCTAACAAACATCTACAAATTAGTGTCAGAAAAATGAAGAGGAGGAGGGGAAAGGACTACAAACATTTGGCTTAAAAATAAATACTAATAAAGAAGTAAACCAAAACGATTATGCAAAATGAAGGAATTGTAAACATGAAATAAACACACATGCAGTCCTCAAAGCTCTCAAGACCAACATGGGGACTAATGTTCAGAGAAAGGTATTTAATTGGTATAAAAGGTAGCAAAGAGACAGTGATGACAGGTGCCCATGGTGCCTCCAGAAACCTGAGAGACCAGGTTTCTGGATATCCTGGAGAGACCAGGATATGTATGGTCAAAGCCTGTGCCTCTTGGGCACCAAGACCAAAACCAGTTTCAACTTGAAGTCATCACAGGGCTTGACCTGAGGATGTTTGCTTGCTGGCCCTTAATGCATGAGGGCTTCAGCCAACCACACACCTCCCATCTGGACTCCCACTCCTCAAGCCTTACCCTGATGTGTCAGATGGGAGTCAAGCAATTCTCCATTCAGATTGGGAGACTCAGTAATCCCAGGGTGGCTCTTTTTTGTGTTCTCTTTGTTGTCTTTTCTTTTCTTTTTTTTTTTTTTTAACTGTGACTCCCTTCATGCTTAGATCTTGGAAGGTCCATATTTTGGAGAATATGGAATCTGATTCTCTGCTGGGAATCATTTTTTAACCCTCAATGGGTGTAGTGAAAAAGCTTGTAAACATGAATACTAAATAACATTAAAAAATCAGAAGGCAGAAAAAAAAACCCTAAAATTGTTATTTTTCAAAGCACACAGTTTTAACTAAAGATTCTGCAGAAGTTTTGAGCATGGTTTGACAACACTGCAGACCTTTCCCTAAGCTGCTGCAGGATCATGGCAGACACGATGGGACAGAAATTGCCTCTTTCTCTCATCCACAGCAAGAATAAGATAGTGCTGTTCAATTGAATTACGGCATTCACCCCCTCATTTACACTGGTATAAAAACATCTTCCAATATGCTTTTTCTCCTTTTCATGATAACGTAGAAAGGACTGTAAAAGATGAGTATTACCTCAGCAGAAACTCTTCCTGCTTGGTTGAACTGTGTGGCCTTTCTAATCTCCAGAGTATACATTTTTTTTCTTTTTAAAATAGAAATAGGTAAGTTGCATTTTTCAAACACAAAGCCCTATATTTTCACTTGAGTCAGACTTTTTTGTAGAATGTCTTTTAAATCAAATTCATCTCATATGCCCACAAGCAAAAAATTCATCAGCCTTGTTGTAAACTCCATTTTGAAACACAATGAATGTATATACACTTTTATAGCACTATTTTGTACTTAAACTCCCTTTCTCTGAAGATCTTGAAGTGTTCTAACAGACCTTGGTCCCTTGGCACCTCTGTGAGGTAGGTAAAATAACACTATCCCCTTATATGCAAGTTGGGAAACTAAGCCACACAGAAGGTGTGCCCAAAATCCCACAGAGATGTGACAAGATCTCCTGAATTCCTGTCTTATCTGTTAGACATACTCTCTTTCCACAACTTTAGGTCAAAAATAGATGATGGCTGTTGAAATAATGATTTCTTTTCCTTTTATAGTGCTCTTGCCAAAGCACAACATTCGGGCAGGTACGGATTTTCATGGTCATTATTAAGATTTCTTCCATTTCTGATAAGGCGCCTGGAGCAGAAGTACAGTTGTAGAGCACATCCTTACTATTTTCACATTTCCCCACGAAAACAAGTAAACTGCTGAATTTCCCTGATAATTTTGTAGTTAAGGAAAATTAATTGGTTACACCATTGGCATGAATGTCTTCGTGCTACTGCAGCAATAATAGCAGAGGGTCCGGTCATGAATTACTCACATAATCTTCCTGGTTTTTACAGTTTTGGGGTTTTGGAGAAAAACAAGCATGTTTCTAAATGGCTATTGTTAAAGGATTGAACCACATGAGAATAAGCAAACTGGAACAGCAGAAGGCGCCCTTGGTTCACCGAGTATCTGTGCCAAGATCCACATGCTATGTCATCTTAACAAGGAGAGGTACAATTTATAGGAAATTAGAAAATGCATTTTTTCTTTTTAAAGATTAAAATTTTAAAAGTAAGAAATCTGTATTAGTCATGACTACAGAGAAATTAGCTCCCTGTCACCTGATGCAGAACCTCAGCCTCTAGGAAATCTGTCATAGAACATAGAAAGGTCAATGCTGGAGTACTTCACTTCTGCAAATATAGAAAGACTAAAATGCTCGCCTTATACCTATTCCTAGAATAGAGACGGATATTTTAAGTTGTCCCTCCTCTGGATTCATGGAACAGATTACCTAGAAGGGGCAACTAGCGAGATAGCACAGATGAACTAATTATCTTTTCCTCATCAAATTCAAGGTGCTAGCAAAAATGTGTCAGGGTGTTTTTACCATGAGTAACCCATCTATTTTGTGCAAACCAAACAAATCTTACAGAGAAATCAACAGTGACTGCACAATTATATTTACACTAAACAGGTTGCTTTTCCACAAATTGTGCGGTTTACGCATAATATCACTCAGTAGGTGAAAAAACACCCTTTTATGACTATTTTTTTTCTTGCGAATTCAGCTTTTATTTTGAATATCTTTTGCAGGTAGTTTGGTATTTAGTGATTTGTGTACAGCAGTTTGTGCTGTAAACATGCTGCTAATACCATAATTGAGGGACTGGCATCTCCTTGTGATGAACACCCTGGAACAATCAATTATGAACTTTCCTTATTTGCTACCTTGCAGCTCACCAGTGTAACTGCACCTGGTAAATACCTTTCTCTATGTACAATACAGAGATAATGGGTATACGAGCTCCACCGAATCATCAGTAGGTGACCAACAGCCTGGGGTTTAAGCAACTCTAACGTGAGGCTCCTCTTCTGTCTCCTGCCCTAGGCTGGTGTATGTCACTGAAGGCTCCAGCTGGCCCGTGGCTGGCAGGTCAACAACAGGTCCTGAAGGATTTCGAAACTGCTTGTACACCCGAGGATCCTGGGCTACGTAGGTGGATGTGGAGGAGTAGAGCACCAGCCCAACAAGGATAGTGAAGAATGACAACAAGTAAAGTCCTGAAAACTAAACAGAAATAAGAGTAGAGTCATTAAAAACAGCAATGCTTATTCTGAACTCGTGAAGACCTGCAGACAGAGGTAGGCCCAGGCCCTTATTTTTGCACACACAGCACAAAACAAGCCTCCTGGGATGTCAATTTTTTATGGGGTTCTCTCTTTGAAAGTTTAATGTGGGCTTGGCCAGAACAAGAACTTCAGCAGTGAAACAAGCTCTAGGTTGACCTCAAGAGGTTTGAATGCACACACAGCAGGTAGTTCACTGAAAGCTCAAACATGTACATTTTTGGAGATAACACCATTAGATCAGAGGTCAACTTGAATTTTCTGATATATCCAGACTCAGCGATCCTGGACTAAAAATAAAACACAATCCTGGGGCAGTAAGTTGGTCCTTGCAGGTAAAGGTAAGGCCAAGGAGTTAAAAGTAAGATTAGATATTAGCATTAGCTATGCGGTCCTCCTATGGAGAGTACAAGAACATCTCTAAAACTTGATGGCTTGTCTCTTAATCCCAGGCTACAAGTTATCTTTTGTGGTGTGTTGTGCTTGAGAAGCCATGGAGGACAAACTGTAGAGTAAATTTGTTGTGATGGGCATGTAGAACTGATTAGTATTCAGTGAGAACACTTCAGTATTAGAAAGTGCCTGTGCCCTGTGGTTGTCAGGAATCTGTACTTAAACAATAACAATTAGCTGCAACCTGCTATGGGCTGCCTCATGACGTACTTTATTATTCTACATAAAGGTGTCTACAAAAATGTTTTTAAATTCTATTGATGATGGTGCTTTGATGGATGCCAAATTCATTACCTTTGGATCATTTCAGCATGGAACAAAATGGATATGCCTGATTATATTATTTTGGCAAAAGCTTTTCTATGAATTCTGCTTTTTGTATTTAAAGAAATAATCCTTGTGATGAATTTCATTAAAGCTATCTTCGTAGTGATGTTAAATTGCTGCTAACAGACCCACACAACCCGTGTCCAACTTCCCACTCAGAGAAGCATTTGCCTTTTTTACAGAATTAGCTCTTCCACAGGATCTGTGGAAGTTTTGCATGCATAACTGTGAAGGAAATAGCTGTATTTGTTACTGTTTCCCACAGCTAGTGTGTGTGTTTTAGAGGAAAAGAACCATAATGGAGAAAGTTTAGTGTGTCAAAAGGATTACACAGCTGGAAGAGCTTTTCATCAAGCATTATTTGCTTTTTTCCAAGAATGTCACTAGGTCTTCTTGCGTCATCTGGCAGTACAATTTGATGTAACCATGCAGCTGTCCCACCAGCCACAAGCTCAGTGCTGAATGCTGCAACAAGGAGTCTGCTGAAGGATTCCTCCCATGTGTCACAGGTCAGGAAGGACTCTTTTAGGCTTAGATCTCCCCCCTGTGGCAATCAAATCCAAGTCAAACATTTCAAAGCTTTGTTCAATGTTTTTTTATTATTATTATTTTTTGTCAGTTTATTTCTGCTCTTGGTATTTTTGCCTTCCATATCCTCTTTGCATATGAACTTGGGTACCGCTTGCCAGCAGTGGGTTTAAATTAGGCTGAAGCAGAATTCAAGTGCCAAATGCACCTAGTTTCCCAAACTGGGAACTATTTCCTGAGCTTCCTGTTGTCCCTCCTTCCCACTTCATTCCTGAATTTCTCACCCAGCACAGCCAGCTGGCTTGCTCGACTGTATAACCAGAGTGCCAGGCAGATTGTGACTGCCTTGCATCCTGCTGTGAGTAATCTGTGGGGCTTCCAGCAGCTAAATATGCCCTTATTCTTTGTCTAGGAGCTGTCCAGCCAAAACACATTCACTTTCACTCTACTCTATGACTACAGCTCTTCCATATTCCCTCTGCTTAGCTGTATCTCTCAGTCTTTTCTTAGGGGATTCCTGTCAATGGGCTCTTACGACCCCTAACACTCTTACCATGGCAGTGCGTCCCCTGTCTTACCATGGCATTTCTCCAACTTGGGAGAAAGATTTGAAGACAGTTGGTGGAAAACTAAAGATAAGGTACATGAATCACTAGCCTTTAGCAACTATGCACAACCACTATAAAGAATACCCTGACAATACCCTTTTAACAATACCACTCTTCACATTCTCCTTTCTTGATTAGAGGCATAAGCTGGATTGTTCCCTGGAGGAACAAGTTGGAGAAGTTTCCTGCACTTCTTAGAAATGCAGTCATTAGCTCTCTGCACTGCAGCCCTAAAGTAGAATGGCAGTTAATAAGGTTGCAGCCTACTTCACTTAATGGAGACAAAACAAGTACATACAGTAACAAATATTGTAGATATATGAGAATCCATTGTTTTATTTTTCATTCAATATTTCATCAGAGAGACACAAAGTTCACTGAAATCAATGAAAATTTTCCTGCTGTTAAAGTGAGCGTGAGTCCAGCAGTGTGATGGGCAGATGCTGACTTACTTATGAAATACAAAATTTGCTATTCTCTATAGTGTGATCTTCAGACTATCTAAATGAAATCTTTGTATTTTATTGAATCTACTATTTCCAGGCATACTCTAGTGCTATATATATAAGAAGGGATTTTTGTTATATCTTGACCTGAAAACCTCTTTTTTTCTTTGAAGTCACTAATAATAGACAGCAAAAGAACTTCAAAAACAGCAGAAAGAGCCATTCACAAGAAATGAAGCACGAGAAGATCATTTTCTGTTGCTACTCTGTAGACACTAAAAAACTGTAAGCTCTTGGGAAGCCTGTAATTCCCATCTTTGGCTAAAATGCTGCTACAGAATTATATTGAGCTTCATTTTTCAAACTTATCTTTCACTTTCTACAGAAACATATTTCTTCTAAGAAAAACATTAAAAAATTCAGACTTGTAGATCTTTCCAGTCCTTCTTCCCTCCATGTGAACAGCTGTTCAAAAAGTAGCATGATCAGGATTTTTTTATCAGGAATTTGATAAAAAATTGTGTGTCAGTAAATGGTCATGCCTTATGGAAATCAATTCAACGATCAATTACTGTTACATATCATCAAACAATTTAACTATAGATTTTGTAACTACATATATAGGTACATATATGTAAACTTGCTCATCCTGTAGTTTCACAGAGATACCAGATGACATGATTAAATCAAGGGTTTAACACTCACAAATCCTAGGACTGATTTTCTGCCTTTAGATAAATTTCTTCTGGGTGCAAAGCTCATTTTAGCTGTGCTTCAGTTTCCTATTTATTTAATGGAGACATCAACACTTCTTTCTTTGTCTGATTATTCTACAAAGTATGCACCAACATGACAAGCATCATGTGTCTATTCAATACCTACAAGAGTTTGATTTTGATCACAGCTGGAGTATTTAAGAATGACACTTTATCAAGCAAAATATTGAAGTGAGCCTTGCATTCTTTCTACAGTCAGCAAACTCCATGCAACTTATGGTTTCCTGTATTGATGTTGTATCTACATTTTTTTAGATGCAAAAACAGTCATTTTCAGTAGCTGCATTTAAAATAACTGATAATAAACCACTGTTAATTTGCAGTGAATAAAAAATACAGCACCTACCAATTTGAAGATAAATGTGCAAAGCAAAAGCTAGACAAAGGTAACAAAATATGCATAGTATGATTTGATGAGTCTATAAAAATCTACATTGATGCGGGGTGACTGGATGTTTCTTGTGCTTATGCAAGAGACATTCCTTAGGGAACTAGTACCTGAATATAATCATCTGATGAGGCTTAGTAGAAAAGTTAACAGCATCTGATAGCTTAACTGCAGGAGGAGGGATCTAGCTCTTAGTTTTGGTGTGTGGCACTCTACAGCCCTGCCAGAAAACCATGGCAGTAGTTAAGGTTTATTTGGTTATGGAAAATGCATGTTAAAACCAGTCCTATATTCTGCTACCAATACATAAATTAATTTACATTATAGAAGGACAGAATCCAAACATATTTGCAATGATTAAGTAAAATACCTTAAACAGTGCTACATATGATTGCAAATGAAATTCACAAAACCTATTTGAAATTAAGGTTATATTCAGTATTTTTTCCTAATGATTACAAATTAAACATATTGGAAGTTAAGTCAAACATCACAAGATTTCTAAAAACCAAAAAGACATCTGAAAGTTTAGATTTTTTTTTTTATCAAGAATGAAACATTAAACCTTTCAAAATTTACTTCCTACTATTTTTTATCCCCTACAACCTATTATCTCTCCCTGCAAAACCTGTCTTTCTTATATCCTTAAACCATCATGGCTAAAATGTGATTATTATCTCCACTTGAAATTCCTGAGCATTAAAGTAATTCAGCTGAAAAATTAGGTGTAAAAAGAGGTTCTTGCTGAGGAGAAAACAGTGCATACGATTTCATCATTCTTGAATAATCGTAAGGCCAAGAAAGCAGAAGAAAATGAAAGAAAGACAATAAATTCCTTTCTGGGCCTGGAGAGAGCAAGCCTTTCTTGAGTAAACAGATCATTAATTTATAAAGAAAATACAGAAGAAATGACATAAAAGAATCTCTGTATCCTGGTTAAGAATGCTGTATTGATATCTGCATAGGGAATTTGCAGACAAGTATTTCTGACTGTCACTGATGTCCACATCCATGTAACCACTGGCACTAGGGCAAAACAATATCCAAAGTGACAAAACAGACAGATGTGAGCCTGCAGAAAATCCCACACGGACAAAGAAACTCAATGATTTGCTAATTTTGTTTTTTTGCTAAGCTATCATGATAATGAGCACGAACATTATTACAATGGTTATGAAAATGCAAATTCTCTTTTACTCAGTCCATTGAACTGGAAATAGTCTGAAAGTGCAGATTTTTCAGCTGTGGCTCTCCAATTCCAATTGTATTTCACAAGAGCAAGCAGTAGACCAAATCTGTTGGTAGATAACATGAAGCAAGGCTCCTAGCCTATGGAAACCTAACGGTCCTTTTTAAATCTTGAGAAGAGACAAATTTTGCTAGGCAAGAAACTGAAAATTTCATTTTATAATATA